GCATGACCTCTACTGTGTCTGATGCAGGGGTTGTCCTCAGCCCCACGACAGGACCCATCCACAGCACTGGTCGCAGCTGGAACCCCTCCCTCTCTGACTCCTGCTTCCAGCCTTGGCACTCCCGGCCTCCCGGCCTCCCGGCTCAGCCTCCCGGCTCGGCCTTCTCTTCTCCACACGTTTCATCCTTGCTCATCCCTGCCATCCCGTGCAGATAAAGGCTGCCCTATGCCTGCAGTTCCAGATCTGAGTCCCCATCTCTGCGCTCTTCCTGAACACTGTCCTCCCGGGTTTTGCTGTGGGAGCCCCAAGCCAGCATCCTTCTTGGATGTCCAATTGGCTGCTCAACGTGCCATCCGTGGACGGGAGCTCTTCATTCGCTCATCTCAGAAAGCGGCAATTCCATCCAAGCTGTGGGTCGGGAGGCCCTCTGGGAGCAATTGTGCCTCTGAGCAAACCTGTCTGGTCTCCCCCCGACCCCCGGGATGTGCTTGATCTGAGCCCTGCTCTCTGCTGCCACTGTCCCCCGACCACTGCCCTGCCCCCAGGTCAGACTTCTGCAGTGGTGACTACCGAAACCCCTCTGGGGGCTTCCCATTCCCTCGGGGTGAGATGCTGGGCTCATGTCTGCCCCAGGACCTTCTGCCTGCGATGTGGCACCCCCAGGCCCATGCTGACCCTGCAGCTCCTTCACCCCCTCTGGAAGGGTCCGGTCATCAGCCAAATGGTACCTGGCATCGACGTCCGTGACTGGCATCCTCGTCTCTTATGGGGCATTTACTCGTTTTCACCTGTGCTGTCCGTCCCTCATCGGGACGGTGGTGCCACAGCGCGGACACCTGTCTGTGTGTCCACCGGACCGCCGTGTGGCGCGTGGTGGCTGGCAAGGAGCAGCTGGTCGTTTGAAGCTGCTTTTCTTTGATTATCGGTGACTTTTAGCAATTTCATGTGTTTTCTTGGTCATTTGTGTTTACAACCCACTGGGAATAATTTCTCCCTTCCACTTTCCACTGAAAACTTTTCCTTGAAGGTCAAGTTTCTGCTGCTCTCTGCAGTGTCCCATCGCTCCTTTACTAAACCCGTGACGGTTAGCTTCATGGTTAACTTGACCAGGCCGGAGCACTCAGATGTTCGGCCGAACACGGGTCCAGAGAGTGAAGGTATTTTAAAAATGTGATTAGCCCCTCAATCAGGAGACATCAAGGGGAGCAGATTGCCTCCACGTGAGGGTGGGCCTTGTCGAATCAGCTGAGAGCTTTGAGAGGGAAGAGGCTGAGGTCCCCAGAGGAGGAGGGGCAGGTCTGTTTTACGGATTCTGGGCTCACCAAGCCTTCACCGTCAGGATCCAGTTCCTTAAAATAACCCCTATACATTTATGTGACTTTAAAGCAGGATTGAAGACTTGCCTGTCGACACGCACCGTCTGCCACTGTCTCTCGGGCGTCGGCCAACCGCCCCCCACCCTCACTCCTCCGTCTGTCTGGTACGTCACTGTGCACTCTCCGGAGAGCTCTGACCAGCACTCTTCCTGATGTCCGACGCTTTGGCCACTGGCTCCCCTCCTTTTTACTTTGTTCGTGGAGACTCTCTCCTGATAGATGTTTAATCTTTGGTCCGTAGGCAAATCTGCTGATCTTATTTTTTAAAGTTTCTGGCTCTGCTGTCTTTCTGAGAACGTAAATGCCTCCCCACAGTCTCTGTCTGGCCATTGGTTCGTACCGGTCAGTAGTGCTGGTCCTGAGTTGGCTTTTGTCCGGACGGTGGGAGCAGGGTCCTGTCTCCTTGTACTGATGGAGCCCGGCCGCAGCCATCCGACTTCCAGGGGGACCACAGCAAACCTGGGCCTGCCCATGGGTTGGGAGTGGGTGTTGGGGCCTTGGCTGGAGAACAGAAGTCTGGTTTCTGCCCAGGTGCTGGGAGGCCTCGGTCCACAAGCCCAGGGGGGCAGAACCAGCTCAAACCTTTCCCTCAGACAGCCGGAGAGGGGGCTCGGTCGGGCCCCACACAGGTGGCTGCGCGGGGAACTCCACACGGGGGACCCAGCTTGTCACGCCTTGATTTAGTGTGGGCGGGTGGCTGTGTCCTGTTTACCACACAGCTGGAAACAGATGTTCCTGCCCAGGGCGGACGCGACCAGGCGGACACGGCTGCGGTGGCTCGGGGGAGCTGCAGAGCGTGCTGGGAAACGGCCCTCGGCCTGCAGGTCGCTGGGCTGCCTTAGGGCGGGAGCCGCCGTGCCGGGGAAGGTTGCAAGCGCGTTGGTTGCTTGGAGGGAAACCCCCCCGCCAGGCCCCACGGGGGCGGTCGCACGCCTCCGCAGACAGATTTCTGTAGTTGGGCTATGGTCTGCGGGTGCTTATTTAGGACAAAAGGGGAAGCCGCGGTAGAAGGCCGCCCGTGGGCTCTTCCGCCGCAGGAACCCACCGGACCGGCCAGAGGGGCTGGGGCTCACACGTGCTTTAGGGAAACGGAATTCAGGGCACTCTGTAAGCATGAGTCCTGGACAGAAAGAAGCTCAAACACAGAGCCTCTGGCCCAACCAGGTGCCCACCATACTCAGGGCAAGACGAGGGTCAGGGGCTTGGTGGGCGGCCCCTCCCGTTCTCTTGGGGCCTGCGGATGGGGCTTCACGGTGTCCATACAAGGGTCTGGGAAAAGCCAGGGGCGTCCTTGGGAACAGCCGTGGTCCCACAGGGGCTTCTCGGGGCAAGGCTGGGCTGGAGGCTCAGTCTGAAGGCCCAAGTGTGCGCCCCCCTCTGAGGCCGGCCGGACCGTTCATTCATTCTTTCCGCTACTGCGGATGCTGGGTGTGTGCTTGGGGCCTCGAGGCCAGGCTGGGAGGTGGGCAGAACTGGGGGCACGAGGAGGGTGGTTCTGGTCAGGCTTGGGTGTCTGGGCCGGGCGGGCAGGCTGGGTTGGGGTGCAGGAGCCCCTACCTCTTTCCTGGTGTAAAGGGAACCCATTGATGTGTTCCTGAGGCTCCGGGACACAGCTGTGTCCTCAGGACACGGCCGAGGGCTGTGGGGGACGCCTGGAGGCTGCCTGGACAGTGGGGAGCTCTGGGGGTGTGGCTTGCACTGTGCAGCAGGACGGTGGTGATGACTTCGGGGTGACTTTTGGGGTCCATGTGACAGGAGCTCGTTTACAGAGAGGGCAGCATGGGGGAGGGGAGGCCTGGGAAGATCTGTAAATCGGCGCCGCGTGGGGACGGACATGCCGGAGCCAGGGTGGTCTTGTGCGGCGGGTGGCGGCCCTTCCCTCCGCAGCTGCCTGCTGAGCACCTACTGCGCGCTGGGCTGTGCTCGTGTGCTGGGGGTTGTCAGGGGCAGCGGGAAACACTGTGCTCTCGGCGTGGACTTTCTCGGGGAGCAGAAAGAAGAAACAAGCGTACGACGGGAAAGGGACGTGCGGAGCGTGCGGGCGGGGGGTGCAGAGAGGACCCAGCAGGGCTGGCAGAGGGCAGGGCGCATCGCCGCCACGGCCCCATGTGCTGATTTCTGGCGAATCGTGGGGGAGGCGAAGGCCTGAGAGGCTACCGAGGGCAAGGCAGGTAGGGTGGCCCCACAGGACGTGACCGTGGGCGGGCCCTGTGGACACCAGGGTGGTGGGCCAGCCGGTGCCAGAGACGCGGTGTCCTGGGAGTATGCCCAGGGCTGGGACAGTGGGAGGCGTGTAGGGGAGGGAGGGAGTCCGTTCTCAGAGTGTGGCCTGAGCCCCTGGAAGGTGGGGCCCTGGGCCCGCAGGGGGTCAAGGTCAGGCATGGGCAGGTGCAGCCCCTCCCGAGGCTCTGGGACACAGCCTGTCAGGCTTTCCGGCTTCAGGAGCAGCAGCCCGGGCTCATGGCCCTGCCTCCACCGCACAGCCACAGGGGGCTGCCTTGCTCTGGGGTCACCCCGCCTTCTCCCATGGGCTCTGTGACAACACTGACCCTGTTCCGCCAGGACTTTGAACGCTGACCCTCATGGCTCTGCAAGTGTCTTTGCCCCAGAGGTCACGTGCAGTCTGTAGGGGTAACGCGTGCAGGTTTTTGGGGCTGAGTCAGCTGACCTCAGCCTGACGTCCAGCTGTGGCATTTTGGGTGTCAGGTGTGGGCTAAGCTCCAGTGGCGACATGTGGAGTTGAAGTCCGCGTGGAGGGACGGGGTGTGAGCCGGAGCCGTGAGCTGGGGGGGGGGGGGGGGGGCAGCTGGAGTGTTGCTGTGGACCACCGGGGGTGGGGGCTGGGCTTGGCGGGGCCCCCCTGCACCCTGCCAGTGGGTGGGGAGGGCAGGAGACACAGGAGTCGTCCGCCGCTCTCATATGCCCACTGTGGCCGCTCCCTCTCCTGCAGCTGGGGACCCTGGGTGACAGTGGGACGGCCACCGCTGACCGTGTGCTGAGCCGTGCCAGGGTCTTCTCTAAGCCCCCTTGGGCACGACGGCGTTTACTGCTCACCGCGCTCCACGTGGGAGTGTGCTCCGGCCCACGGTGCCGGAGGGACGGAGACAGGAAGGTCGGGGTCGTACCTGCGGCTGTGGGGCACAGGGAATGAGCTCCGCGTGGGGGCCGTCCCGACTCCCAGCACGGAGGGCTGTCTCCTCGTGATGCGTGTGAGCCTGTGTGGGCCCGTGTCTGTGTGCACACGTGAGCACAGAAGTCCCGCAGACCAGCACGTGTCCTGTGCACATGTGCGCACGTTTGTGTTCATGCGTGTGCACCCGTGTCAGCGGGGCAGAGGGCACGTGCACTGCTTATGTCTGTGCACTTGTGCTTGTGTGTGAGCTGTGCTGGTGCACACACGTACGCAGGGGCGCCCCATGCGTGTGCCCGCGCGTGTGGGAGCACCACCCCCCATTCCCTTCGGGGCAGAGGGGCCCCACCAGCTTTTTCCCACAGGGGCGCCTCCCATGGCCTGCGCTGCCAGTGCCGCACCCCAGGGCTGGTGTGAATCCCTGGACGCTTGCCCGCAGCCTTCTGGGGCCTCTGACCGGGGCAGATGCTGACGACAGAGACGGGGAAACAGGAGGCACGGAATGAGCAAGGTTTATGGGGCCGGCTGGCCGGTGTAAAGGCAAGGGGCTGCAGTGAGGTCTGCTGGCTCGGGGGTGTGCGGGCTGTGACGCCCTCCTCTCTGGGCCTGGGGGCTGAGCTCTGGACAGAGGTGGACAGAGGTGTGCGGGGGGTGGGCGGAGATGGGGCTGGAGTCCGGGCTGGGCCCCTTTGCCCTTGGCGACAGCGTGGAGGCTGAGCGTCTACTCTCCTGGAGTCATTTCACCTGCAATGAGAGCCCGGGGTCGGGAAGGGGGCGGGTGTGAGGGGGAGGGTCCTCAGAGGACAGGGCCCAGGCCCCCGAGTCCTGCCCAGCTGAGTCCGACGTGAGCAGGCGCCCAGCATCTGTTCCACCGTAGGGCTGGGGCGGCAGAGGGCGGGGGCCTGTGAGCTCTTGGGCTGAGGCCCTGGGCCTGCGCCTGTGGCCCGTGATGGCCGTACACTCCTCCCGCTCCCCGCAGGCTCCCTGGGCTGGCCCAGCCTGTCCCCAGCCCTGCACATAGTGCCGGCTGCCTTACCTTGATGAAGGTGACAAAGCCGCTGTAGAGCAGAGTGAGCAGGAAGAGGGCTGCAAACGTGGGCCACAGCCCGCCGACGTCCTCCAGGTCCGTGGCGTCCCCCCTGCTCTCGTCATGGCTCTGGAGGGGTGGGGGCGTCATGGCCAGACCTGGGGAGCAAGGGCACCAGTGAGGAGGTTCAGTCCCCCACGCAGGGGGAGCTGAGGGATAGGCCACTGCTCTGGGACGCCCCTTCCTGACGTGGCCCCTTCCTGACGTGCACCTGTGAACCTTCTCCCTGCCCCGCGCCAGGGGCTCCCAGAGCCCGACGGGCCCAGCACCGAGCCGCACACACAGACTGCACCCAAACACCCTGGTACATGACAATCCGCATGACAAGTGAGTGCGGCAGGTGGGTGGCACTCAGCGGGTGGACACACACGGGCAGGGCTGACGGGGACCTGGGGCTGGGCAGGGCCCTCGGAGCGACAGGGAGCCCTCCAGGGCTGCCTGGATGCCCACGGCTCTGTCCCCCATGTCCCAGGGTGGGGCTCGTGTCCCTCTGTGCCCCTGCCCAGGGTGCGGTAAGGTGGCTGACAATGTCCCCTTTCCTGGAGTCAGGTCGGCTGCCCTCTGTGCGTCCCCAGCCCTTTCGTGGCTTTGACTACGCAGGGTTTATAGGGTGTCTGTGGTGTTGTCTGCTAGCTCCTGCAGGCCGGACTGTCCTTCCTTTTCTCCTACGTCCTACCTGGAGGCTCAGAAATCCCTTTGCTGTGGAGCAAGGCTGGGCTGTGGGGGAGCTTGCAGCACAACACCGGCAGGGGGGGCACCAGGATCAGCAGGGAGGCCCGGGGTGGTGCTGAAGAACAGAAGGGCCCCCGGTGTCGGCGGGAGGGCCCCTGCGTCTGTCCGGACCTGGGCGCACGCAGCCTCGCACAAGACGGGGAGCAGGAGCACCTCGGGAGGGCGTGTATAACCTGACAGCGACCCTGAGGAGCCTGGTGTCCTCCAGCCCTTAGGGCCGTCAGTGTGTCAGGCTTGTCCTGCAAGCACCATCCTGTTTGGGAACAGGGGACCCGTGATGGGCTGAGGCAGAGGACAGCCTGTGGATGTAGGATGGGGGAAGCCTGGGGGTCCTGGGAGGAGAGCAAGCAGCACCCCCAGAAGGAGCAAAGCCACAGCCGCAGGAGGAGGGGCTGGGACCCGTCGGAGCCACGGAGGACGGGCTCCTTCCAAGGGGTCCACGTTGCCAAAACCAGCCGAGCGGTTCCAGCCGCCCCCACCTGGCTGGAGGAGGGGTCCAGGAGATACGCACGGGACTCCAGCCGCCTCCCTGCGCAGGCCCACCTGCATGGCTCAGCCTTTAGTGGGCTGGGCCCTTCCAGAGGAGGACTTTCTCCCCACTTGCTCCTGGGGGCCTGGGGTCCAGGCTCCCTCTACCCTCTGCAGGGCGTCCTGTCTCCAGACTGTGTGATCCTGGCAGGAGGTTCTGCCCCTGCTGGAAGATGTGGCATGCGTGGCCTCTGGAGGCTCTGAATCCGTGCGTGGGCACCGGACACACAGCTGTGGGCACAGGGTGAGGGCAGTGCTGGGCCCTGGAGGGGCTCGGCCACCCCTGCTCACTCACATGGCCCTGTTGCACCCCTGCCCTGCTCCACATGTGCTCAGAGGGGCAGGTGCTGGGAGACGTCTGGCCACACACCTACTGCCACCACAGGCATAGAGCCACGGTCCGGTGCAGGGGCCACAAGGGCCGGGCTGTCTCATCTGAGCTGTGCTGTGCCTGCTGGGCAGGCCTGGACTCTCCGCGTGCTGGGGTCTGCATGTGCTCAGGTCCCCGGATGTGCACACCCTGACACAGCCAGAGCCTGCAGCCTGGGGCTCTGCACGGGATGGCACATCAGTCTCCAGCCTTGACTGAGTCTGTACGGGGGGCAGGTCTAGCCTCACCTGTGACATCAGGCCTGGAGAGGCCGGGCCTGCGCCTTTGGGCAACCCACCTACTGGGTGTAGGAGAGTAGAGCAGGAGGAGTGTCGGCGTGGGCCTGCCCCTCAGGGAGCCACGGGAGGGAGGATGAGCAGGGCCAGGAGGCTGCTCTGGGGCCGGAGAACAGACCCGGCCGGTGTCATTCAGAGAGAAAGGCGGGACATGAGCCATGGCAGGAGGCCTGTAACTGTCCCTCAGAACAAGGTGTTACCTGAAACGTAACCACGGGAAATTCTCCCAGTTACCAAGCACATTTTGACGTAGCCTCAAGAAAAACACGTCCCGGCAACGGGCCTCTGGGGCAGAGGACGACAGACGTCCTTGAGGGCCAGCAGCGGGGGACGCCCGGGCCGCTCAGGGCGGACGCCGCCTGCTCCATTTTCCCGGTATCTCCCCTTCCCTGGAGAGCACTTGTGGCTAATTCGATGATCCCGTTGAAGGTGCAGCTCAACTGCCGACTGTGTCCTGCGTGATCGGACACATCCTGCCCTCCCTCTTGTTCATCCACAAGGCATATGACTGATGTTTGGCCTTCGGCTCCTGTTGGTTACGGTTTCTATCTAATAAAGTGGGACTGAGGAGTTGTTCGGGGCGACCGTCTCTTCTCCAGTCACCCCGGCTCCCTCTGTCTTGCAGCTGACTGGTTTGTGCCTCATTCTTCTCCTGTGCGCCGTCAGGAAGTGGCAGCGGCCCAGGGCCGGTGGCATCCAGAGAGAAAGGGGGGGACATGGGCCATGACAGGGGCCCAGGGCAGGTGGCATCTAGAGGGAAAGGGGCAATGCCGGGAAGACGGGTGGAGGACCAGGGGTCCCAGCCTTGGGCGGGCAGGCAGGGCTGGCCCCAGGACTCTAGGGGAGGCCTACTGGGGTGGTCCAGGCGTGCTGGGGGTTAAAGAGCTGCCCCCTCCCTGGGGCTCCCTACAGGCTGCTGCCCACCAGGCTGCCTCCAGGGCCAAGCCGGGCTGTTGGAGCTGTGCGGTCAGTGCTATTGTGTTGGAAGGATGCCCACTGCACGGGTTGGGCCGTTGGCAGGGTGTCTGAGCCCGTGGAGCTTGGCACAGCGGTCCCACATGCCCCCTAAATTGCTGCCGTGGACCTCCACTGGGCGTCTCCCCCCACACAGCTCCCAAGGGCAGCCTTGCGCCAGGCCACCTGCCACCTCTCCATGAGCAGGAGGAGGACGGCGTCCTGCTGTCTGTTTGGCCTAAGGTGTCCAGCGCTGTCCCACCAGGGCTTTGCTGCACCTGATGGGGCCATAGGAGGTCTGACAAGGGCCTCAGAGGGGAGAGTAAGCCCTAAACCTCCCCCATGAGCCCCCACCCTGGTGGGCCTCTGTCCCCTCTGCGCTGTAGGCGGCCTGCAGTCGGGGCCTGTTGTGGGCCTGTGCTGGTCAGATGTCCCCGGGCACCAAGGCCAGCACCCACTTCTGGGTCTATCTGTTTCCTGAGGTGCGGCCTGATCTGCACCCAGCCGTGTGGCATGTCTTGGTGGGAAATGGCTGCTCTTTGGGGCCTGGCAGGGGTGACAGGCACCTTTCAGCCCTCCTAGTCCAGCACATGGCGTGTAGACACGACAGGGTTTGGAGGGGCCGGTGTCAGAGAGGCCGAGCAGGCCGGCGCGCAGCCATCGGGTGGGTGGCCCACGGTCTGGGCTGCAGCCCCGGGATCCGGCCGCTCGGCTCCTGGGAGGGCTGTCCCTCCACCCGCGCCCCTTGCTGAGAGGAGGCTGGGACAGAAGCCCTCAGGCCCGTGGGTGACTCACCAGTGTCCAGGCTCTGGCTGGTGTTGAACAGCTTCCGGGAGGCATCATGCCTCACCACACATGTGTAGGTGGCTGGGCCAGGGCTCTGGGCCGCGAGGACACGCAGGACGCTCCAGGTCTGGAACGTGCTGTTCCCTGGCTGGGCCGCGGGGCGTGCGGTGGCAAACGCCGCAGGGTCCACCTCCGTGCGGCCCTTGAGCCAGGTGAGGAGGATGTCCGGGGGCGAGAAGCCCGACACCTCACACAGGAGCCAGGAGGCTGCTTGGTGCACGGTCAGGACGCGGACAGTGAGGCTGCTGGGCGCGGTGGCCGCTGCGGGGAGAAGTCCGGTCATGCTGGGACCACCCGAGGCTTGGGCGAAGCTGGGGGGCCTGGGGAGGGCCGGTCCCCACCCCCTCGGTGTCTCCGTGTGGAAGGAGGGGTAGCCACTGTGCTGGGTGGGTCGTGCGCGTGCGGGGGCCCCAGCCTCCCCGTCTCCTGGACCCCAGAGTGGGCCTCACCGTGCTGTCCCGGTGCTGCAGACACCACCTGGGCCGGCGTGTTGGGCTGGCTCAGCGTGCAGGCGATGCTGGTCCCCGAGGCCCACAGGGACACCGGCAAGGCCAGGCGGCTGCTCAGGCTCTGGGAGCCGTTGGCGTGCTCCTCCCGCGGCCCCTCCTCCACCGCCCTGCTGGGGGGCGCCCCGGCCACCGCCCAGGACACACGGGCCTCCTGCAGGTCATCCCCCACCGCCAGGCAGGTGAAGGTGGCCTCTCCCTGGAGCCACGGGCCCCGCAGGGGAGGCTGCAGCAGGTAGAGGCTGGGAGGGTGAGTGTGGTTCCGGCAGTCTGCCAGAGGAGAGCGACCTTGGTCAGTGGGGACCCCGGTCAGCGGTCAGCGGGGACCCCAGGTCAGCGGTCAGCGGGGGACCCCGGTCAGCGGTCAGCGGGGGACCCCAGGTCAGTGGTCAGCGGGAGACCCCGGTCAGTGGTCAGCGGGGGACCCCAGGTCAGCGGTCAGCGGGGGACCCCGGTCAGCGGTCAGCGGGGGACTCCGGTCAGCGGGGGACCCCGGTCAGCGGTCAGCGGGGGACTCCGGTCAGCGGTCAGCGGGGGACCCCAGGTCAGCGGTCAGCGGGGGGGACCCTGGTCAGTGGTCACTGGGGGACCCCAGTCAGTGGGGGGCACACAGACCCTGCCTGGGAGTGGTGCTGTGGGCAGTGCCCGGCCCAGGTCTGCTACGCTCCCCAGGGCAGACCTCCCCTTTGTTGCTTCCTGGCCTCCCACTGCCCGGCTAGGACTTCCCCCGGGTTCCCCAGTCCACTCTTCCCCTCCTCCCCCCACTCTGTGCCCCAAGGAACTGGCCTCTGAGCGTAGCGTCCACTGGGCTTCCTGACTCTGCGGCTTGTGTGTGGGTGTGGCTGGTGGAGGACACTAGGAGGGAAAGGGGGGTGAGACCGGTGGGACTCACCGGGGCTGTGGCCTCCCGGGGCCCCTCAGCCTTCCTGCTCTCTGGGGTCCAGAGACCTACCCACACCTGCTGCTGGCCCTCGTCGGGCTCCTGAATGGTCACGCCACGGTGACGCCTACAGTTAGGGTGAGGACGGCCGGAAGTTATCGGGCCTTGGGTTTGGGACAGACGGGGGACCTGCAAGTTTGCTCTGTAGAGGGTCAGCAGTAAATACTTAGGTTTGCCGTTACAGGGTCTCCTCTCCACTCTCCCCACCCCCATCTTGCTAAAACTGCTCAGGTTGTGGGAAAGAGGCTCAGGGCTGTGGGCTGTGCGGCCCTCCCGGGAGGACGATGTTGGCCTGTTGGGAGGGCTGGGCTTGTGGGGCCACACACCCCAGTCTGTCCCTCAGATGCCATACGCCCCGGAGGCCTCTCCCTGGAGCTCTGCCCGGGCCTGAATCCTGGCCAGCCAGTGGACGCGCCCCACAAGGACAGGGACTGGAGAGTACCCCTGCCCCGAGGCGGGGGTATTTGGATCCTTGCCTGGAGGGCGGACCCCTCTGGGTCTGACCGGGCTGTGCTGAGCCAGGCACTGGTGGTGGTCGGATATGGGGTTGTCATGGGTGGGGTGGGCTGTGGAGGGGCCGTGGAGGGGCCACGGAGGGGCCACGGCAGACCACAGCCTCTGCCCCAGCATCCCCAGGGCTGGTGCTGGAGCTGCCGTTCTCTGAGAGCATGGCTTGCTGCCCGCTTGGAGGAGTGAGTGCTGGACCTCTGCCGAGGGGGAGGCAGGGTGGCTGTGGCCCCAAGTGGCCCTTGGAGAGGCCCCTGGGTTGGGGGCAGCTCACGGAGAGGGCCTCTGGCTGCAGGACCCCTGGGTCCATGGTCAGGGGTGCTGAGCCTCAGGTGGCGTGCTACAGCTCTGTCAGGGCCACGGGGCCAAGTCCACCCTGCTGGGCATGTCAGCCGTGTGTCCTCACGTGAGGCTCTGGGACAGGCTCTCGTCTGAGCCCTGCCCCTGGGCCCGGTGAGTCCCAGTGCTGGCCCGCGGCCCCACCCCGTCTGCTGTGCTCACTGCAGGTGTGGGGGGGTCTCCTGTCCACTAGGGGCCTGAGGGGGCATCTGCTGGGACCCAGTGCGTGGTGTGGTCAGTTCTCTGCAGACACCGCCCCCAGAGAAGTCGCGGAGGGCTGCCCGAAGGCGTCCGACTAAGGGACAGGAAGGCAGGAGGGCTCCTCACCTGGGACGCTGGGTGTGGAGGAGGTCTCTGGCGGAGACGGCCCGTGAGCCGATGGGTCGGTCTTCCCTTCCCAGGACTCTGAAGTCAGAAGGACAGTGGCGGGGGAGGGTCAGACGGTGTGTGTCCGGGTGTGGGGGGGCTGCCCAGTGGTGGCTAGGAGGACGGGGATGGCTGAAGGAGGGGCGACTGGCCACGGGCGTGCTGGGCACGGCTGCCTGCATCGTCCTCGGGCTGGAAGGTGCGGGGCACCCTGGAGGACGACCTCGGGGGTCTGGGGCCACCCACCTGGCCATAGGATGGGCTTCTCCCGTGGGAGGCCGGAAACGACGGCTCTGCAGTAGTGCGGGTCCGGCTTCCAGGTGACTGACAGGAAGGACAGCTGCGTGTGCTCTCGGGCCCTCAGCGTGATCAGGGTGGTCGTCTGCGCCCCCGAGCTCGAGGTGACCTGCACGGACTCTGCGGAGGGTCCTTGTGCCAAGCAGGCCAGGCCTATGGAGTCACCTTGCTTTGGGGCTTTACATTCTGAGACCAAGGGGAACAGATGCAGCGTTTCGGTGTCTGGAAGACAGACAGGGCGTGTGAGGCCGGGGCCGCGGGGGTGCAGCGTGGTGGGGGAGGGGCAGCCGTGGCCGGTGGCAGCCGTGGCCCTCTTGTCCTGCAAATGCAGCGAGGGGTGCCCCCTCTGCGGAGCCCGTGCTGCCCTGCTGAGGGGCCCGGTTGTGTGTCACCCCCGGGACTCTGAGCGCTGGCCCTGGGCCTTCCCGCAGTTGCCCTGGGTCCCCTCTGCCTGCAGAGAGGGGCCTTGGAACTGGGCTCTGGCTCCCTGGCCAGCGGGGTGGGCTCAGACGCTGCCCTCCCCGTGACTGCCCCTGGGGCTCTGTGGCTTAGAGTCCAGGCCTGTGAGCCTTTTGCCCTCATGGGAGGCCCTTGGCCATGTCCTAGGGTGCGGGGGTAGTTTGCCCTGCAGTGTTCTGGGCCCAGGGGTGGCAGGTCCCTGGACGAGGCTTCTTGGTGGGCCGGTTCCTGTGCCCTGGTCTTCTCCCTGGGGACTCCGCTGGCCAAGGGCGGCTGAGCAAGTGCGGGGTCCCTGCCTGAGTCCCTGATGGCTCCCTCACCAAAGTCTGTGGTCCCTGTTCTCTGCCGAGCCCCCAGGCACCATGCTGCCACCGCACGACGGGACATGCCCGTTCTCCAGCCGGTCGCCTGGGCCATTGCCTTCGCCCACTCCACAGGCCCCCTGACGCAAGACCCATCTGTCTGTCCTCCCAAGCACCCAGCCGGCCTGCCCCTGCCTTTTCCAGGGGTTCCCCAGCAGGACTGTCTGCCACGCATATCCCGGGGACCCCACTCCCCATACAGCGTCCCCGGCACCCCCCTGCGTCCTGCCAGGACCCCCTGCACCCTGCGGGGGAGATGCCAGGCGTGGGTGGGCTTGACCCCTGTGCCTCAGATCGTGATCACGTTTGGAGAGAAAGTCCTAGTGGGCGAGTTAACGATTCAGGGAGGTCCTGCTGCTGGAGGGCGGCCTCCAATGCAACGTTGCTGGGCCCGGCGTTCTGCACGGGGGAAGGACAAGAATTTCGGGGGCTGGGGTGGACGGTTAGGGCTTGGGTTGAGAGCCCTGGTTTACGTACGGAAATCCTGTCGCCCTGGTGCCCTGGCGTGGGGCCGTGCTTGCAAACGGGGCCACGGAGGCTGAGACCTTAGCCCCACCGACGGACGCCCTTATCAAAGGGGGGTCCGGACACGCGCAGGGGGACAACGCCACGGCCCGAAGGCAGACAGCGCGGAGACGCACCTACAAGCCCGGGCGGCTGCCAGAAGCCCAGCCTGGAGCAGACTGTCCCCCTGGCCCACACGACTCTTGGCTTCGAGAGGATTCCCTGCCCCCGGGGTCCCTGGACACGGACTCAGCACAGACGCCATCGGAGGTGACAGCCCCCCACTCCCTGGCACGAGAGTCCCCAGCCGCACACGCACCTCATGGGCCCCTCATCCCGGGAGGCTGGGCCAGGGGGTCCGTGTTACCAGACGAAGCTGGGGCCTCCCTGTGCCCACCGGGCGCTCACGGGGACCTGTGAGCTGCATCCTGGCCTCCTCCAGGTGCCTCCTCCCGGGAGCCTGGCTCACGGCCGTCCTCACCAATGCCACCTGGACCCCTCAGCCGTGTGGGGTCTGCGCCTCCCCCTCGGCCCCTCCCCTACCCACTGCCACCCAGACCCTGGTGGCCACAGCTCCACGGCCGGTGAGTGAGCCCCCGACGCGAACCCGCATCCCTTTGCTGCACTCCCCCTCCGCTGGGGCTCCTGGCCGTGGCACCGCCTGCTCCTCGCGTGTAGGGACGGGGACACACGGAGGCTCCCCACATGCCGTTCCCTGGCAGGCACTCTCCTCCCCGGCTCGCCAGACGCTCCTGCTCCCGTCCACACACCCTTCACGGTGCAGCCCACTGGCAGGATGAGTGCCCTGTGCTCCCGCCAGTCCTCGGTCCCACACAGCCCAGCCCCACGAGGGGTGGGACCCTCCTGGGGGCCGGCCAGGCCGGCTGGGTCGGAGACGGGACCGTGCGTCGTGTGGGGACCCAGCGGCGGAGGCCCCTGTTGGTCGCACACAGGGACCAAGCCCGGCTCCCGGTTCCCACCACGTCTGGGAGGTCAGGCCTGGGACAGGGTCCAGCACCCGTCCTTAAGCAGATGGGACGAGCCAGAGACGCTGGGTCCCACTGCAGGGCCCCCTTCCCTGGCACGTCCCCTGGCAGGCCTGTGCACAGACAGGCCCTTCCCACAGGCCCTTCCCACAGGCCCTGGACACATGCGGCACCCAAGGAGCACTTTGGGACAGAAGCCTGCACAGCAGAGCAGTTTCGTAAGATAAAATATACACGTTTATTGGAAGGCGACACGCGGGTACGTTGCACAGGCCGAGTCTTTGAGCTGGAAGCCGGGGGAGAGCTAAGGATGCGCTGACGGGCTCCGCGGGCTGCCCACCCCGGGTCCACGTCCCGGGCCTCTGAAGGTCTCCGCGGACCGGTCATTTCACCTGCAGGCGACAGACGGCGTGAGACGGTTTCCCGCTGCCCTGGGCTGGATGCCCTGCCCCTCCTGCCCCGGCCCTGCTGTTACCTTGAACAGCGTCACTGTGGTGCTGTAGAAGACGCTGAGGAGGAAGAGGACGATGAAGGTGGACGTCACGGTGTTCAGGTTCTCGAAGTCTTCCTCCTCAGCGCTCACCTCTCCCTCTGCAGGGAACACAGCACAGAGCGGTCAGGCTGCGCGGTAGGGAGGCCTGGCCCCAGAGCTGCCCTTGGGCCCCCGAGGCTGCCCCTGGGGGGCCGGGCGGGGCAGGGACGGCGGGAGTGGGTGTGCGTGGCTCCTGACTGGTCCCTCAGTCTCCTCGGCACTTGCTTTGGGAGGCCGAGGGCTCCTGGGCTCAGTCGGGAGGCATCGAAGCCAGGTGTTAGCTGGGTCCTGGGAGCTCGAGACAGGGGTCAGGCCGAGGCAGAACACAGGCTCAGCAGAGCAAGGCCGACCCGAGCACCCTGTGTGGGAGCCGTGGCGGGGCAGAGAGCACAGCAGAGCAGCACAGACGCAGGGGTGTGGCAACACAACACAGCAGCGGGGTTGGGGGCCACTGCCAGGGCTGCCCGGTGGAGAGCCAGGGAGCAGGGCCTTCTGCCCCCTCTGGTCTGGAGGGGGTGCTCTGCCCCTGGCCGCCGAGGCTGGAGAGGCTGGCAGCGGGGACCTGGCGTGTGTCTGGGCCTGAGGGGCAACCGCCTCACTTCCTAGTGAGATTCCCACTCGCTGTCCCTCGGTCTTGGAGGGCATGGCCCCTGGAAGATCCCGTGTGGGGCCCTGGCCAGCTGTCTGCACTGCCAGGCTTCGGGGACCAAGGGCTCAGATAGAACCCTGAGGCTCCAGGGAGGGTGACCCTGGGGTGGCCTGGGTGGACAGGCTGAGGACCCTCCATGGGGTCTGGAGCCCACTGGCCCTTTGGGGCATCTGCAGCTCAGGTTCCCAAGGGTCCGGTGTGCAGGGAGGGTCTCGGAGGCAGCCCAGAGGGGGCCGTGCTGCTGTGGCAGAGGGGGTCCCACTCGGACCCTTGCCCTTCCCCGCCCACCAGGTCTGTACCCCTCACGCCTGCTCCTGGGGCCTCATTTCCCACTATTTCCAGGGCTGGGTGTTTGCAGGGGCTCTCCACTCAGACCAGGCCCTCTGCAGTCACCCCTGCAAGGAGAAGCATCCAGGGACAGCCTCCCTGCCTCTGGGGCCGATGTCCAGGCCCTGGGGCTTTGTCAGAAGCAGCCCGGCCCCGTTCACCTGTGGGCACTGGGGTTCTGCCGCCTTCAAGAGCCTGGGCATGGGCAAGGACTTCCCTTGGCCTTGGGCCTGGGAATGGTGGCTGCAGCCAGAGTCCAGACCTTCACGCTGAGACAGAGGGACAAGCAGAGCTTGGGCACTAAGCCCGCAGAGAGTGACACAGCCGGACAGGGCAGCAGTTCCTGACAGAGGGACCCCGGGTGTGCAAGGGCTGGCACCTGCGCGTGCAGGTGTGTATATGTGTGTACACGCGTGTGTGTACGTGTCTCTGTGTGCATGTATGTGCAGACGTGTGTCCATGTGTGTGTGACTGTGTGTGCACGTGTCCTTGTTTGTGTGCACGTGTCTGTACGTGTCTGCGTGTGGATAAGCGAGGACGTTTGTGCATGTGTGTACCCGTGTGCAGCTGTCTGTGTGCACGTGTGTAGACGAGGGCGTGCATCTGCATATGTCCACGCATGTGGGTGTGTGTGCACACGTGTGTGTCCGTGTGTCTACACGCAGGTGCGCCCATGTCTGCATCCACACGCGTGCATCATGTCTGTGTGTGCGTGTCGCACACTTGTGGTCGTGGGAGCAGCTACAGGAGCGGTGAGCGTGGCCTCGGTCTGCAAGGAGCACGGGGACTTCCAGAGGCTGGGGGCGGGGCAGGGACGGTGCTGGAGGGTGGGCTGGGGGCAGGGACAGCACGGCTGTAGCCCCGGCAGGCGAGAGCATCGCTTACTCAGGAGGAGTGTCTTTCGAATGGATGTTTTTATTTCTGATTTTGATAAAAGGTCACACGTTGCCCCATTGACAAGGTTAGTGGACACACACGCACACATAGCGACGGGTCAGCCAGGGGCTGCGGATCCACCGGCTGGGACCCAGCGGCCCAGCGGTCAGTAGCAGGTGCTGGCCGTGTCAGACAAGACCAGGGACACGTTGTAGAGGGTGGGTTTACCGGTGGACTTGTCCACGCTCCTCTCGGTCACCATGTGGGGCAGGGCCTCATGGCCTACTACACAGGTGTAGGTCTCCCCAGCGCTCCAGTCCTCCTCGCTCACGGTCAGGGTGCTGTGCACAAAGTAGAGGCCAGAGGCTTGGGGCTCGGGTGTCGGAGCACTGGTAACGTAGGTGTTGGGGGGCACGGGCTGCCCCTTCTGCAGCCATTGCACAAACACGTCTGGGGGAGAGAAGCCCTTCACCAGGCAGGTGACTGTGGCTGACTCCCGTAGGCTCAGCTGCTCCCGGCTTGGTGGCAGGACGTACACAGATGGCATGTGCTTGGGGACCCCTGTGGGAGGAAAGACGGGGTGAGCTCGGGCCGGGACCACTGGGGAGAGACCACCAGAGGCCACGGGAGAGTCCCGCGGCAGAGGGGGCACGGGCCCTACCCTTGGGCCTGGAGATGGTCTTCTTCAGTGGCGAGGGCAGGTCCGTGTGGGTCACCGTGCAGGTGAACTGCTCCCCCGACTCCCAGTCCTCCACACAGACCGTGGCCTCCCCCATGGCGCTGAAGGTGATGTTGGGGTGGCTCTCAGAGATGTTCGTGTGCGTTTTCAGAGGCTCGCCATTCTGGCGGGTCCAGGAGATGGTCAGGCTGTCGTAGGTGGCCAGGTCTGTGACCAGGCAGGACAGCTTGGCCGACTTGGTGAGGAAGATGCTGGCAAAGGAGGGTGGGATGGTGAAGATGCTGATGCCCACGGCTGCGTCTAGGGCAGGAGAGAGTTTGTGTCAGTGACGGGCCGGACGCGCGGCCAGGCAAAGGCGGGGATCGTCCCCAAGAACACAGGATGCGTTCACCCTGAGCCGTCCTGAGCCCCAGGGACCCACCAGAGAGGAACGCTGGGCCCTACCTCCCAGCTCTTGGCCGCTCCGGGAAGCCAAGGCTCGGGGAGGGGCCGGCCCGAGTGGACGCCCGCGCATGTGAGGGGTCCCAAGCCCGAGGGGCTGCCCCGGGGCCCAGCACTCACTGGAGGTGCACACGGAGGACACGTTCTTCTCGGAGGTCACACCGCTGTGCTCCACTTGGCAGGTGAACACGCTCTGGCTGAGCCAGGCACTCTCGGTGACGGTCAGCGTGCTGAGCACTCTGTAGGTCACTGTCCCGGACACTTTCCCGTCAGCCTCCACCTTGCCAGTGTCGATGCCCGACGTGAGCTGCTTTCCGTCACGAAACCAGGACACGGAGATCTGCTTGGGGCTGAAGCCCTTGGCCTGGCACAGGAGCTGGGACGTGCGCTGGCCGTTGCCAGAGAAGGCATCGCGGGGCGGGATGAAGACGGTCACGTTGGGGGACAGTTCTACGGTCACTGCAGGGAGGGACCAGGCGTCAGCCCCCGGCCTCCCCCTGCCCACCCAGCCGCGGGAGGAGGGCCCGGCTCTCACCTGGGAAGGGAACTTTCACGGATTTGTTACCCTTGGTGTGCTTGACCTTGCATGTGAGGTAGTCCTCGGAGCTCTGGAGGACGTCCACGGAGGGCAGGAACACCTGAGAGGTGGCCGCATACTTGCCCTCTCTCAGAACCGAAGGGAAGTTCTTGATGTCCCGGCTGCCGACCTCACTGTCGTTCTTGTAGGTCCAGGAGAAGGTGATGGCGTTGGGCAGGAAGTCCCTGGCCAGACAGCCCATGGCCACCAGGGTCTCATCGGACTGGAAACTCTCACAGGTGATGAGGGGGAAGAGGTTTGGAGAGGATGGGTTCTCTGAGGACCACAGAGGGACAGGAGGTGAGTGAGAAGATGTCTTCTCCCCACACTCTGCCAGGCGGGCCAGAGCCAGCCCCACAGCCCCCTCATCCCACTGCCACAAGGGCTGGCCTCACAGCCTTCCCAGCCTTGACCAACAGTGCAGCGGCAGCTGGGCTGAGGCTGAGTCCAGCCGGGAAGGGGAGGTTCAACGCCCCCCACCCAGCTGCAGAAGCCTAGCTCTGGATTTGTGGGAAGCTGGGGTCTCCGTGGCCTCGTGAGCACTCTGGTACCCTGGCTCCTGGCTCCGGATGGCTCGACCAGCGCTGCTTTCCCTCCGAGACACGGGAGCCAGGCTGCTGTGCTCAGCCCCAAGCCCCACGAGCTGTCTGTGATGCAGACAGCATGGAGGGGAGCCCCCTGGCCAGTGCAGCTAGGGTTAGGGGACGGTGTGTATGTGACAACTTGGACCCACACGTGGCCCATTGCAGGTGAATCCAGCCCAAACTAGGACATCGAGCTCCTCTGAGCCAAGACAGCTCAGCCAGTCCATTTTGGCTGGACCAGCTCAGTGACCCTGTTTAATCAGCCCAATGCACCCAGCCTGGTCCAGCTCAGCCACCTCAGCTCAGCCCAGCTCAGCCCCGTTCAGCCCAGCCCAGCCCAGCCCAGCCCAGCCCAGCCCAGCTCAGCCCAGCTCACCCAGCCCGGTTCAGCCCAGCCCAGCCCAGCTCACCCAACGTGGGTCAGCCCAGCCCAGCCCAGC